CAGCCCCTCCCTGCCGCGGCAGAGCGCAGCAGCTCCTAGGGCCAGCTCTGCCGCGGGAGCCCTTTTTATAGCCCTCCGCAGGTTGCTGCCCACTCCACCTTGGTCAGATCAATTAGTTCACCCAAAGTTCATCTTTAATTACGGATTGTGGCCTGGCTCCTCCCCCCGAAATCTTTAACTGTTTGTTTTGCGCGGTGGCTTCCCCAGGTCTGTCTCCCGCCCTCCTCCCGGGGCTACAGACAAGCCCCCGAGCTGACTTTGAAAAGGTGCTAATTTCCCCCGGACAATAGGGGCCGCGGAGCTCGGGTCCTTGAGCTCATTGAATAATCATTAAAGGCTCGGACGGGGGCAGAATTGCAAACAGCTGCTAGTTCAGCTCGTCAGGAAGCAGCGGAGACCAGCTAATTAACCGCTTCCCTTGTACCTTTATTGGTCGCTGGTTCAATCGAGTACGAATCTATTGACCTAGGTTAGAGAAAGGCCGCTCTTAGTTCGCCCTTATGTCTAGTTCCAGGGAACGGAGCGCACGGACCTTGCGTCTATGCTGCTGCTGTGCGGGGTTTGATAACACCAGACACACGAGTTATACCCGGTCTGTGTTAGTCTCTCCGGCAGCCCTTCGCGGCGCAGCGTTTTTTAAAGACCGGAGCCCCAGGCTGAGTGCGAGGAGCCGATCTGCTCCGCGAATTTGCAAGGAGTAATTAATTAGACTTCGCCTTGTTCCGGCTTGATGCTATCGCTCGTTAGCACAGTGGGCTCCAGCCCAGGGAACAAGCGGCGCAGACCCTGGACAGCACTAGTGCTGGCGCTTTGGACATCTCCAGGCGATCCCTCGCTAGGGCTGCGTTCCCACAACTCCAGCTGCAAAGCAGGCCAGGTTTGGTTACAGGACAGACACCGACTGATGTCGCTGGATCAGGACCAGCCGCTGCTTCGCCGAGATTTCCTTGGCCTCTGAAAGCCGCGCCTGGCCTGACGTTCACCTCCCAGGCCCGGTTTGTATTTATGTTTAGGGTCCCGGGAGGAAGAAGCATCGAGGCGAAGTAAAATCTGAAACTTACGATGCAGCGCTAGTGGCAGGTTCAAACGCAGGTCAGCGAGGGAAGGAAAGGTTATATCCGAAAGTAAACACCGAGCCTGCTGCCACCTACAGCCTTTTATAGTCGTTTATAGCCTAGACCACAGCGCCCGCAGACCTGCGCGGACGTGTGAGGTTTCTGGGGCTGCTCGCCCTGGGCCCTGGCGTAGCGTGTAAGGGCTGTGAGCTATGGGCAAGCCTTTGCTTTTGCAACCTGGGGTGGGGAGTTTACGTTTTTAACGAACAGAGCCAGTAGCCAGGATGGGTAAATAAACCACAGGCCGCCACAGCGCTATGGGAAAACGGCAGAAGAGCTCTGCGTACCTCTCCCTCCAGTAGTTTAAGGGGGGACCGTAAATCCCCTGGCACAGAGATTGGGAGATAGCTCTGTGTGCCTGGAAAGCGGACGTGAACACCGTGGCGGAGTGCTCCCAGCAACCGGGCAGAGAGTCCCCGGGGTTTGATGTTCCGGTGTAGAGCATCCAGGAGGCAGGACCGCTGTACAAACGCTGGGACATGTTCTAATGCTAAACCGCTTTGTATCGGCTGCTGTGCCCTTCGGAAGGGTAGGGCTGACTCTTGGAAAAGGTTGTCACGGATCCTTCGCTCCTCCTACCCAGGGCTGTAGATGTATAAGAGGTTTCTGTAAGAGGGGAAAAGAGTTCTCCAGTCCACTGCGGGATCCTGCCCTTAATCCTTGGCGAAACCTTAAAAAAGGTTTTGGCGAAAAGTTGAATTTCTCTTCTGTGCAGCCAGGGACGTTGGCTGTGCGCCAAAAGAGCAGCCAGCTGCTAAAAGTTTTCCAAATCACCCATCTCCTTTCCCGCTCTGTCATGTGCATCATCTCTGAACTGTCCTTATACCCCTGACTGCACCCGGTAGCTTCACAGTCAGCAGGCATTGATGGTCGGAAACAAGGGAGCTCCGAGGACACTTTATTTAACACCTCCACAGGTAATACCTGTCCAGAAATCCTCGACTCGCGATTACCATTATTGCAATAAATGCAGCAGTAACCAGTTGAAAACAGCACTTCTCAAGAGTTTTACATGTATAGCTAGCTTAAGCGCTGTTTTGTAGACATACTGCAGATGAATACAAACAAGATCTTGGGTATCCTTCGAATTACAGAATTTTTTCTCCCGGTGTTTGTTGCTCACTGCATGACTGAAATGACCCTCCCAATTTCTTTTATAATTTGGTGGCTACGTTGAGAAATGTTTAAAGGGGCACCCCGAGATTCAAAGTAATATTAGTATCTCGAAAATGTCCTTGCCTCTAATATCAATAGCACTGGAGGTATATTAAAATAGACGTTTCAAAATCAACAACTCTGTTGTGTGTTATAATGGATATATTTATTTAGCCTACTTCGCTCAACTTGGACGGTACAAGTGAACTAGCCCGCTTTATTTTTGGCTAGTCAATTTCACTTTCCGATTCTCTGCCCAATCACAATAAACACTGAAGCGCGTTTTTTTTTAAAAAAAAAATCTAAATATTATCCAGTAATGTATCCCCTTTTATATTTTCTGGAAGACGTGACTCGGGGAGAAATTGTAATATTTATTAGCTTGGTTGCTTCGACAGTGCCTGGCAATGTAGTGGTTGAACGGCAATATTTCTGTCCCGCATACACATTATTTGGCTATTTTCCAGTTCTGGGAGAAGGCATTTGCAATTTTAAAAACGCAAAATTTATTTCTAAAGGGTTCAGTCTCCGCAAACGAGCTGACCTCGGAGGGCTAAGAGCGTTTAAAGTATTTGGAGTGTAATTAACATGTAGATGAAGTCCTAATTCCTGTATCTATGCTAAAAACATTTACCGGGAAAGGGTTTAAGCGTTCGGGAATTATTATACACATGCCTGCATATAATGTACATATGAGTTTGTGGGGGGTTTTCCTGTGCCCAAAAGTGATATATAATATACTTGTAGCCTAAATTTAATCTGATCATTTCCCCTATGTTGTGTTCTAAACGCTCACTTTGTTCCCATCCCTCCACCCCTCCTCTGACCTATATAAACCAACCAGGGGTTATGTTGGCGGCTTTTGCGCCCTGCAAAGTTGGCACGGCTGTTTTCTGCCTAATAGGGATGACCATTTTCCGGTGTCTGCGTACCGTCAGTGAATTGCGCTGGGAGCAGTGGCATGACCTCGGGGTTCTTTCCCATTCCCATACTCTGACCTGCTTGTGACCTACAACACGGACCGTGACATCTGAATGAACTCTGCGAGCAACTTCGCCAAGTTCACTGTCCATCAAATAACGAGATACGGTGGTCTGAGCACCGATAATTACCACAGGAAACCTTTATTATCGCCACAGCCATCTATTCTACAGTCGTCAGTCCGAAAAGAATCAAGTAGTAAAGAGTGAAAAGAATAATTAAAGATATCTTGGAAGGGGGTCAAGAAATTAACAGCCTGATAGGAACAAACTTTGATTACAAGTAGTAATTGCTACACTTCACTTGAAAATGCTCATGTTTATTCGAAAAACAGTTTCAAGTCTTTTTTTTTTAACTAGATTCACATTAATTACATCATTCAACAAAGCGGTTACAGTGCTAGAGTGCTCGGGTGATTTTTAGCTTGGTCCTGAAGAATCCTCCCCTGTTGGATGATTACTCCTCATGCAAGCTGGAGCCAGGAGGCTACAGAGCTGCATTTGCCAGCCGGCTCTCGCCTAGGTGAGCGGCCAGGTCCCACCGAAATAAAACAGAACTGGAGGTGGATCAAAGCTTCGCGGGTTTTAGAGGCTCACAATAGCGTCAGTAGCGTTTGGATGGCTCAGTTCAGTGGTTGTGCTAATTCAAGTTAGTCATTGACACTTGTATCCACCGCCTACTGATTTCTCCTCCGTTCAGCACAAAGATTCACCTTAAAGACAAGGTCAGCAGGGCAGAGGCTTCTGGTTCACTAAAGGGTCAACCTGACAACGGCACTTAACTCCGACTTTCAGCTGCAACCTTTTCCAGATTTGACCTGTCACATTTGGCAGCCATGTTTTTGCTGTAGGTAGCTGAGATGTTGCAGGGAGTGAAATTATATTACGTGATTTTCTGATGTTTAATTAGAAATGCTGCTCCAGGTAAGTTCTCTGGGCGATGGCCGCTACCACACCGGCTCACCGTTAATAAATTATTCCGCTTGGTTTTCGGGCGGTGGGTCGCCATCTACAGCAAGAGGGCTCAAATATTTTTACTTTCTCCTTTGGGGGGATTACACAAGTTACAAGAAAGTTTACTGAGCGCAGAAGCGTCTTTGGAGAACACATCCCACCACCCAATGTGTCAGCCTTCACAAAGGGAAATTTCATCCTAAGGGTTACAGGTTTAGGATGTAGGTATTCTGCTCGACTCCTCCGATGTTTGATATCTTGACTTAGAATAGTAGCCATATTTTGTATCGTGAAAAGTAATTATCGGATGTTTACACTTCTTCATCGTTTAGACAGACAGTACATACTAACTCTGGTCATCTGAAGAAGTGGGCAGTGCCCACGAAAGCTCATGATACCATCTACATGTTTTGTTAGTCTATAAAGTGCTACCAGACCATTTGCTTGCTGTTTTTTTCTGTAACAGACTAACTCGGCTACCCCCTGAAACTCCAGTACATCCTATGTACCTGACCCAAAGCCCAGTGATGCAATCATCATGCCCCTAAGTGAAAATGAAATAATGTGTTCACTCAGCTGCACAAATCATACTTAGTACTAGCCTAAACTCTCCTCCCAATGCTCCCATGTAACTGCCATTTCCATTCCTGGACATAAAAGGTAGGCATTATTTCACTTTTCATTTTACTATTATAAAATATTTGTGATAAATTCCTTTACAAGGGGAAAAAGCAAAATACTGGAATTGAAGTGTAGGAAATGGCCATGCCCCTCCAATAGGCCAGTCAGCATCCAAGCTTAATTCCATGTGAATACATATATACACCACTGTACACCGTATGCTGTGTGACAAATGATCTAATTCTCAGTGCCGCTGATAGTTATTTTAATGCCACTATCGCTATCGATATTAAAATCATTATTCTGCAAGAGGTACCACAGTGTATGCACAAATAATGGATTTCGACCTTTTAAAACTGGAATTTTCCCGTCAGAATCAAATAGTTAAATGTCCCGATTCTTTAAATGTTTGTTTTTAAAAGATCACTACCCTACTGCAATCTGATTCTCTCGTGCAGGCTTCAACCTGCAACTAAACTGCAGTCTAGAGCACGTTTATCCTCAAAATGGGATTTAGTGAGGAACCCTAATAATAGCAGCACAGTCCTTACTATAATAGTGTTATAATGTACAATATTAATATACAGTACTATCTGAGGGACCAGAATACATCTTTTAAAAGATCACTACCCTACTGCAATCTGATTCTCTCGTGCAGGCTTCAACCTGCAACTAAACTGCAGTCTAGAGCACGTTTATCCTCAAAATGGGATTTAGTGAGGAACCCTAATAATAGCAGCACAGTCCTTACTATAATAGTGTTATAATGTACAATATTAATATACAGTACTATCTGAGGGACCAGAATACATCTTTTTTA